AAATTGTTTTAACAGAACGTCAAAAACAAAAAATGGTCAAAATAATGAACTAAGGGCAAAGTTAAGTTAGGTGTTCTGTCTTTTCCCCGTTGTCAACATACTTGCCAGAAAAAGGCACTCTACCTGCTAGAAACGACACAGCTGAAGCTATCAGTAAAAAGCTGGAAGCTCTCTCACCCTCCAAGCAGAGAGGTATCAAATCAAGTGCGAAGCAAGAACTGGAATGGATCAAGATACTCCACTCCCTCATCTCGAACATCGACAGATGTCACCGGGGGAAATAGCCGCGAGCTGATTATGTTGGGCGTGAGCCCGTAACTTCTTGTTCATCCATCAACCACCCAGGGGAGGGATAAAAAATGAGAGATTAAAGAATAGAGAGATGTGCGTTGAGAGAAAAAGTGAGGAAAAGGGCTTTTTCAGCAAAAACAGAGCCTGAGGGCCGAGTGATATGAGAATCACAAATGAGAAAGGGTGGGAAACAATACCCGAAGAAACTGGCTCCAAGCATACTGAGAGGTCTCTCGTCTTTGTAACACGTCTGTGTGTCGTGTCTTTTGTTTTGTTTGTCTCGATTCTTGCCTTGAGTCTTTCTGAGCGTGTCTCATTGTGTTCAGGTTGTTTACCTTTTGTTTTCTATTGTTGAGTCTTTTTCGCTGTGCTCAGTCGTAGGCTCAATACCCAGTTAAGAACACATTTCTTAAATTTCAAAAAATTGTCTTGTGCTCAGAGTGCCGTGTCGTTCTCCACGTTTGTGCAAAACAAGATTTTGTTCTTTCAAAAAACCGCAGGGTTCAACTCGAGTCATGTGGGAACAGTAAAGCCCGAACCCATCTGAAGCTATATTGGTTCCAAACTTCGAAGCAAAAGGAAAAGAGAAGATGTCAGACATCTAAGTTTGTTTCAACTTCTGCAAGTTCCGTCATCGCATCCTGTATGTTCAGAATGAGCTGTGTGTTCAAAATTAAAAGACTACTGAGTTATGAGTCGTGTGTTCAAATTGAGCAGTGTTATGTTATGAGCTGCGTGTTCAAAAATTGAAGTATATGAGCTGCGCGTTCAACATAAAGTATATGAGCTGTGTGTTCAGAATTGAAGTATGTGAGCTGTGTGTTCAACATGAAGTATATGAGTTGTGTGTTCAGAATTGAAGTATATGAGCTGTGTGTTCAGAATTGAAGTATATGAGCTGTGTGTTCAGAATTGAAGTATGTGAGCTGCGTGTTCAACGTGAAGTGAATGAGCTGTGAGTTCAGAAGTGAAAATTTATGAGCTGCGTGTTCAGAATTAAGAATGAGCTGCGCGCAAATGAAAATGGATGAGCTGCGCGTTCATAATTGAAATATGTGAGCTGCGTGTTCAAACTGAAGTGAATGAGCTATGTGTTCAGAAGTGAAGTGTATGAACTGTGTGCTCAGTATAAGCTGCGTGCAAATGAAATGAATGAGTTGCGTGTTCAGAAGAAAAATGTGTGGGCTACGTGTTTACAAGTGAAATGTGTGAGCTGTGTGTTCAAAGTGGGATGTATAAGCTGCGTGCAAATGAAATGAATGAGCTGCGTGTTCAACTTTTAAAAACTGTGGGCTGTGTGTTCACCATCAAGAGTTCGGACTGCGTGTTTAACTTTCAAAAATGGGCTGCGTGTTCAGAAGTTCAAAAGTTTGAGCTGCGTGTTCAACTTTCAACAAATGTGTGCTGCGTGTTCATAATCAAAAAATGGGCTGCGTGTTCAGAAATTCAAAAGTTTGGGCTACGTGTTCGACTTTCAACAAGTGTGTGCCGCGTGTTCACAATAAAAGATAGGCCATGTGTTCAGAAATTCAAAAGTTTGGGCTACGTGTTCGACTTTCAACAAGTGTGCGCTGCGTGTTCACAATCAAAAAATGGGCTGCGTGTTCAGAAGTTCAAAAGTTTAAGCTGCGTGTTCAACTTTCAACAAATGTGTGTTGCGTGTTCACAATAAAAAAATGGAGCGTTTACGAAACCAAGGCCAAAAATCAACGCAATAAATCAACGCAAGGCCAAAAGTTTAAGAAACCAGACTTGTAACTGGTTCTAATGATGCTAATTTGATAATTTTCGGATTTATACCCAAAGAGAAAGACACTTCCGAAGTTTTTGATATGCATAAGTTTTCTGGACAGATTTGAACACACCAGTTAATATAGATTTTGACTTCCAAAAATTATGAGAAAATTCTGGTATACAATTAAATATGTAATTAATCTACTATAAAAATTTCAGTTCAAAACTCATCCGTTTGATATGGTTTCTTGATTTTTAAAATTTATGGTTCTGCACAGAATTTTTTTTTTACTAAGAATAATACCCATTCTTTATACATGAATGTTTGAACCTTAAACATTATATCTAGACCTTTAGTAACAATACCAAACAAGAGCACCAGTGCACTGTCAACACAACACACAAAATATAATGCCACATCTCTTCCACAATGAGACTCATGCAACCTCACAACACCTGTTCTTCTATCATTATTTCCCAGGACCCAGGTTTGATATACTAGACTTTCCTTCACACCAGAAATTAATAAATACCTAAATGATTCAACCATGCGGTTTCACGAACTCAACTATGGATGATCAAAACATAATAAAAGTACGAATAAACAACCACAATATTGATTACACAGAGCTCAATGCTAAATTCCTCTCTCTCCTTGTTGTTTGCCACAAACTTCTTTGCCTCTCTCTTAGTTATGAAGACCTATGATTTGATATAGTGGACATAAAACCCTAAGCTTCCTCACAAACATCTACGCCCATGTTTCTTTATTATATTTTATTCTATTTTTTTTTTAATCTTTTCACCAATTAAATTAAATATAACTATTAGATCAAAATATACTTAATAATTTGTTCCCTATTATTATTATTACTATTTTTTAACAATAAATCTTGACTCTAAATTAAAGACTTCCACCATAAATTTATTTTAGGTTTAAAATTAATTATAAAACCCTCCAATAAAATTTAATTTTCACTTTATAAGCAAAATATTTCGGATTGTAAAATTATTATTATTATTTAACTATTTATTTGATTTGTATATTCAGGTTCTCACAGTTTTAGGATCCAGTCAGACTCAGCCTTAGTAGTTCGGTCAAAGGCAGGGACGATATCGGTACTAGACCCTAACGGGCTACGCTTTGAGGGCCTTGTAAGGGTCGACTTCACAATCAGTGCAGTTGTACCAACCAAGAGATGAACCTTTTGATCAGAGACTAGTGGGTTGATCTTTGGGGTCTTGTTGTTAAGCGATGTCTTGTTGTTAGATGTGGGTGCATTTAATTATGTTTTGTGCATGCATAAATGTTGCTAGACTTGGATGTGGACTTGTTTGAAAAATCTCTTTTGATGATGGATTTGTTTGTGAAAATTATAATTAGTGTAATCGTTATTTGGCTATGAATGCTTTGAGAAATATTGTTAACTACTTGGATATGTATAGTTTTCTTTGAGTTATAGTTGACTTATTTGGTCTCCATGGGATGGTGTAAGATGTGATTGCCACTTAGGCATGTGTCTATCACTATGAGTTGGGTTAGAAAGGTGAGTTTGTGTGAATTGAGTTTCAAAGTGTGGTGTCCTAAAATGATGGCCTTGTGGGTATCTAGTTGTAGAGAGTCCTGTGCAGACTTAGGGAAATGTTGTGGGAAATGTGATGAACTCTATGTTAGAGTAAATTACTTGTGGTTGACATTGGTCAATGGTGTGTAGTATAGATTGTTGATCATTTGATTTTGGATGGTTGTTGTGTCGGAAGAGATTAATAAGAAATCACCTCTAAAATTGTTTTTGCCCTTGGGCAATGAGATATGACATTGGGGAATGTTTTGGGTTACTTACGGAAGCGTTGATGTTATGCTTGTATGTGTGTAATTCTTTCTTGGGCTATGTGAAATACCTAGAGTTGGGCAAACACTAGTGGAACTTTGTTTTATGAATGTGAAAGGGACTATGAGTAGCTAATATATCCTAGTGATGATTGTGATGGAATGAGAATTTCCAAGTTCATAGGTGTGTGTATGGATGATATGCCACCGCCTTAGTGATTGGCATATTTCTTAAACTCTATTTTTTATTATTATTGTTGTTGTTGTTGTTTTTGTGTGGCCTTGGACCTTGTTTTGTATGGCTGAAAGCCTCTTTTGTGTAAGGATTATGCCCTCTTTTGTTGTGTAAGCCTATAGGGCATCTCCGTGTAATTGAATAGAAAATTTGTAATGTTTAACATGCTTTACATTCATACACGTAGCATATGTGTCTCTCAAACTACCATTCTTGAATGGAATATTTATTGTATTCAATTATCTCATATCTATATTGTATTCAATTATCTTGGGTTATATTCTTAGAATCTTCCTTCAGTTTGGTCCTCGTAAAAAAAAAATCGAGTCATGCACTAGCCGACATGAAAGAGGTCTGAATCCCTGGTGTGACAAAGAATCTACAATCATTTTTAAGTTTTGATAATTAATGCCTCTAAGTCATTCGTTAAAGAGACTCATTTTAAAAATATTATTCTTTTTATTTTTAAATAACTTTAAATTATCATTTTTTAATAGATTATTTTGTGTAATTTTAGCTTGAACTTATTGGTTGGAACTAATAATATGAAAAAGATTTTCAGTGTTTCTTGGGGCAACATCTTAACCTTTTTAGAGACACACATTTACTAAAATTTTATGCGCACAAGTGACAAGTTTCACACAAATATGTGCCACAAGTATTATTGAGACATTATTTCAGGAGAATACAATAATTTCTCTATTAACACACAACTTGAGGCCCAACACATCATTATCTCTCATTACTATAGATGTGTGTCTACGTGTTTGTGTATATATTTAGTAGTGGTCATCTTTCAAAGAATTTTCCATCGATTGTTCACCGTTGTTTCCTCTCCGTCCCACGATTACATCAAAAGCTAAATATATAAAAACTTGTGACACCCATCAACTTTGTTCCTTTGGGAAACAAAGAGACAAAGAAAGAGGGAGAAGAGAAACAACAAAAGTTAGGGTTTCAAAACCCAAGGGCAATCATTCTAGTGTTGTCCCAAGGTTAGTAGGCTAATTTTGATTTCCCATTTTAATTTTGTTACATCGGTGCGTAGATTGTAAGTTTTGTGTTTGTTTTTTTTTTTTTTGGAACAAAATTCTTGCAAGACCTATTTGTCTAAAGAGCCAAACACTACTGAGTAATCACTTGTGAAAAACAATACAGAAAAATAAAGAGAACACACTAAGGTTCACGAACAAATTAACTCATAATTTCATTTAGCTAAATCCAAATAATTTTATAAGAGGAATATTATTTATAGCCTAATAACGTAAATCAAAATACTAAGCTAAAACCCTAATAATATTTTTGAAACTTTATAAAATATAACCTAATTAATAATTATTTACATTCTAACTAAATAATAATTGTAACGCCCTAATATTTTAATACATTTTATAATTACCAATCCTCTGCTATTATCCAATTTCATGACATGAGATGTGAATTAAAGAGAATAAAATAAAGTACAATAGTCTAATACATTAAACATCTCATAAGAATTACATTCATACATTACATCATTCTTTCATCAAATTTTACAATACATGTGGAGTTTTGAAGAGAAAAGAAAATACAACAAAGATTACCCTAGGGGCTTACACCTTTTAAGGCTGGGGCCTTGATTACAAATAAGTGGAACATTATCCCAAATATGTAAGGTAGGTAGCTGTAAGCAAATAAACATCAAAATGAGCTTACATGCTCTATCGCAAATCTCCACTAGCTCCTCAATGATGTGGAGGCACATCATCACAACCTATCAAATGTTTGTCCATAAAATGGAATGAGCAATCACGCCCTGTAGAAATACATTTAACAATGTATGTAAATGCCAATACAAATGCCATGTTAAAATTCATCATTTTCTTTTTTAAAAGAATGATGGTCAATGCACTTTTATTAAACCAAGACCAACAAAAACAATAGGGTAGTAAATATGCATTAGAATCCCAAGATAAGAACCAAATACATATATGTATGAATATATATCTGAAAATAGTCCCACATTTACCAGCTTTGGCATGGAAGGGCAGTTGTTGGGTATCTAAAAAAAAATAGTTTTTCACATTTACCGGCATCAACAGCAGAAGGGCAATTGGACACCTAGAAAATATTTTCCCATATTTATCCAGTATCAAGCACGCGATAGGGCAATTGGGCACCTGACTCCCCCCACACGATTACCAATACAACACTTAACTCGTTTTCCAAAACTGACTCCATTACTTGGATTTAGTACATTATTTACCTCCTTGCAATGAATCACCACATTCCAAAATAGCAAACCGCGTTTAAGTTCAAAGACCATGAGATGCTTATGCAATGCATAAATTTGCAAATATTTCAATTTGCCTAAGGTTCAATTCAATTCTACAAGAATAAACAAATGTAATATATGAACAAAATAATCTCAACAACTTCCATCATCAACAACAATTCCAACATAAATTCCAAGATTTGTGTCATTCCAATATTCCATGTATTACAACATAGTATCATTATAAATCCGAAATTTATACAACTCCAATATTTCCATCTGTTTCCGCACAAAGCCAACTTCAATTTCACCATAAAATATCAATTAGTTTTCAAAAATCTCCTGTAAATAGATTCTCCAAAAACATTGGGGATTTTCATTCATTTCTTCATCAAATCTTGAAAACATCAACTATTATCCTTCAATATGCCAAAACATTCAAAACCTTTAATAAACTTGAGTGACAATCCCATTTTTATACATTAATATCGTTCTCATCAAAATCATTAGTTTATACATCATTGTAATTAAGAAATTATCACATAATCATATCAAAACATAGATATACAAATTTAAAAATATTCCTACCTTAAAGTAGAGAGAGATTGGGTGAACACCCAAAAGTTACCAGTGACGAAATGACGATCTAACCGGCTCAAAACGTAGCCATCAACGATCCATGCACTTCATTCTTAAGAACTAGGGTGGGATTTGACACCAAAACTCTAGATTTAATGTTTTATGAGCTTAGATGCTCAACAATGGCGGACAGAAAGAGAAAGGGAGAGAAAAATGCAAAAAAAGTGGTTTTGACGCGCACTCAAAAATTTTGTAGACAAACCATCATGCTTGTGGTCTTCTTCATCGTGGGCACAACCATGAGGGTCGCAAACAAGCTTGCAGGCTCCAAGGATTCCGCAAACAAAGTATTGGGACTACATATTGATCGCGGGCACGAACACTTAGGGAAAATTCTGCTGGTTCTGAATTCTTGCACAACAATCTTATTTCCATATGTAAACATTTTACATAAGTTTAAAATGTAGATAAGGAAGTACCCCTATTTGGATTCAAAGAAAAATACTAAAAATTCAAAATCCAAATAAATCAATAAGTGGTTCTCCCAGTTTTAGTACCAAATAATTTTCTGATTGCAAAAACTAAATTGATGTTTGAAGCAAAGTGACTAATACTTCGTAGAAAAATCTAGTAAAATCAATTTAGACTATTTAATTTATAAGGAACAATTACCGAGAAAATTTATTTTCAAAATTGTGAGTTTTGAAAATAGTAATCTACCAATTGCAATAATAATGTATAAGAACATCATCTGAATGAAGATCACACCTGGTTAACAAAGAATCATTGTTCAATTTAACTTCTTTGTAGTCAACGGCACAAGTAAGGACGTATTTCATAGAGCCATCAATGATAAGTATTGGCACACCCTATGTGCGTGACATTACAATCCCAAATCTAGTTGCCCCCTAAGAGAATATGATGACAAAGCTTAAAATGTAGCCCCTCACACTTTATTGTCTCCTTGAGCCTACCAATATTGAATATCAAGAGGCACTCCTTGTCCACTTTAAGTGTGGCGTTAGTAATCCATGCCACATGATACAACATTTTTCATGACCCGAACCCGCCCCCAGAGGTTTGGATCATAACCGGCCAGTAATCAGTTAATTACTTTCGGCCTCAAACGGAATACAAAATATTTAATATAATGGGGCCTAAAATGGAAGCGAATTGAAAATAAATAAAGTCCATTGAGCAGTACATATATGATAAAGATGAAACATTTCTCATTCATAGCATTGAACCCATACATAGATTATATACATTAGATAAACTTCATACATTAAGTTCACACATTCAAAACTTAACTTTACAAAAACCAAAAGCTTTACATGAAAATACAAAAAACCCTAACTTGGAGGCATGACATTTCAGGTTCACAAAAGCAACTCCTCAGGCTGACTCTACGATCGTTCTCCACGCTGATCATCTACATACATATAAAGGAAGGGGGTGAGCGAAGCTCAATGAGTAATAATAATGTAAAGGGGTTAATGAATGAGTCTGAATTTAAAGAAAAGCATCTTAACATAATTCAAATAGTTTTCAGAAATAAAACATTGTTCAGATTCAATTTAACTGAACGACCTCAGGTCTAATCCTTAAGCGGAACGACCTCTAGTCCAATTACACGGATCGACCTCTGGTCTAACACGGATCGACCTCTAGTCCAATCATTCATAAAGAACTCATTCATTCAAATTAAAACAGAATTTCAAAAAAACATAACATATCATATTGTTTGAAAATAAATATCTAGAACAAATCTTTACAAAATTATTACTCACAATGAGTGTGATCATGTGAAGCCCCCTCAAGCAAATGACCTACATAACACAATCATATGAATTCAATAAAACGAAACATTCATTTATTTAAACATTTATTTTTGCTTGTTCAAGTTAATTCAAATGGGTTCCTAAATGTCTTTTAATTTCCCAGGGGGGTCAAAACAAGTTCAAAATAATATTTGGAAGGTCAAAAAGGTCAACATAAAATTAAACCGCGTTCTTCTATATTCTGCACATGCGAAAGCCCCCAGCCATGCGGGCTACACATGCAATTAAAGTAATAGTTGATCCCCTATTTTCACTCGACGATCACACGTGCGAGGCATACAACTGCACGTGTGGTTCTCGACAAGATTGAGCAGTCAAAAAATTCAACAAAGTATAGGTCTTCAAAACTCAATTTAGTGTCCAAAACTCATGCAATACATCATCAAAACATGAAAATAAACAAGAACCAAGATCATGTTCAACTCAATTGAATCAAAAATTCCATTAATTTAAAAATCAAACTCTCAAATTTTAAGAACACATGAATTTGATATCTTTGTCTCGAAACTCATTTACATACATACTTGCATGAATACATTCTTCAAACAAACTTTGTTGCATGTAATTTATAGGCCTCATTTCATGTATAATTCTCAAAATTGAACTCAACTTTAGCAAATTTAAGGAATTAGAACTCATGTTCTTGAACCTAGCTTAATTACACTTACGAAACCCAATTTCCTAGCAAATTATATGTTTAATCCTCAAATTAGTTCTTGAATTCAAGTAATAGATGAGTTATCTACAAGATTTTTGGTTGAATTTCATACCTTAAGCTTAAATTTTGTGTTTCCCTTCAATTTCCCTAAGCTTTCCTCATGATGTTCTTCCTTGTGCCTTCTTTCTCTTCTTTCTCCCTTTGTTTTTCTCCAACAAGTTTTGAGTCTAAGACTCTAGATTAACCTCAACACATATGTCTACTACTTAACTATCTACTTAATTAACTTAGATTAGGTTAATTGCTAATTAGGCTTAATTAATCAACTAGTTTAACTTCTAATTAAGTATGACATTAATTAACTAATCTTCCCTTAATTGACTCAATGACTTATGATTAAAACTTAATCCAATTATTTAATCTAATCTCAATTTAAGCGTAATCAATTATTTTTAATTTCTATCAATCTAAATCAATTTTTTAATTAAACTTCCATAAGGCTCTAAATATTCAATTAAGTTGATTAAGCTCGTCACTTAACGATTTCTAAGCCATATAGACATTCAATTTCTAATTTAAAACATAACATCTAACAGATATTCACACACAAATACAAATGATGAAAGATATTAATATGAAAATCAAAATTTCCTACAATTGAATGGATGCAAACATGATATGCATGGTTGGGTTATTATAACATTAGTACAATTCAATGTATAAATCACTAGAAAACACAATGGATCACTACAGTTCACTAGAGTACAAAAGTTCTTTTGTCTTTTTAACTTCTCAAGTTATTTCTTGTTTAGTTGATGGCAACAAATAATATCAATGACATTCTTAAAGGGCTTATCACATTACTTGAGATCAACAAGGTCAACAACATTCACATTAAAATTCAAAACTCAAATTCGGTATTCTCAATAAGGCCGTGTGAGCTTCATGTGACTCTATCGAGATCTTTCTTGGGGTAGATTTTTTCCTTTGTCGTGGCTTTGTGAGTGGCTATGGTTGTCACGGCGATGAGGTGCAAGATGTTTATTGAACTCCATGTTTCATTCGTGGTAAAGACTGGGAGCTAAGGGGGCAATTATTATATTTTTATTGGTCTTGGTGTGTTTTAGCTTATTTCTTTTTATTTTAGTACATGCCTCAGTTAAGAAATTATTGTGTGTTTTATGTGGTGTTTATTTTTTTACATGCCTATATATCTGCCCTAACCTCCTATCTATTATCTTTGATGGTAGAGGTAACTTGGGGATAAAAAGGATATATTGGAAAATCTTGGTTATATTTGTGGTTTTCTGTTGGTCCCCCGCAATCGCAGGGGTTTGTTTTAGCTAGTTATTTTAGTATTAGTCGAGGGGAAGGAACAATGTTAGATTTGTTTGTATTCCCTGGGATATGTCCCTTGTAAATGTGTACATTCTTTGCATTTATTTTATGACTTATCCACCCAAAAAAGGTATTCTCAATAGGGCTTTTGTTGCTCGCCAAGACAATTGATTTAATGGCCATATTAATTTTATGAGAAGTGTAGTCTCAAGCATGACACCCTAAGCCTTGAAAATTAAAATACTTGGGCCTAATATTATTTTGGGTCCATGAATATGCACATTTACAAGGGGCATACCTCAGGTAATATAACAAATCTAACACCAAAAATTACAAAATCATGTTTTAAATACAACAAGCGATTAATCACTTATAATCTCAAAACATGTTTACAAAGCTAGTTTCTAACTCTCATAGGGTAGCCATACGTCTTCAAGTACTTCAGCTTTGCCTTTGACTGGTCTAATAGTCTTCAATACCTAGCATAAAACACCATGAGTTTTGAATGCCCAGTAAATGCACACACATCCCGTCCCTTTTTCCAAATCCAATACACCATCATAATTATAATAAACAAGTAATGAAGCATGATAATCATTCAATAATAAAGGATTACAAGTTTAGATGTTAGTAATCTAGAAATCCCCCAAAGAGATTTCATCCTCCCAACTGCAAGAATTGGACACCGGATTATTTAGACCTCCTCCCTTTTGCTGCTTTGCAGACCTTACCACAAATGCCTGCAACGGTTACATACTACGCAACGCCATCGGTGGACCTCAAAAGAGATGGTGAAAAGAAAAAGGTTTATCATCCAGAATCCAACCTTATCCTTCCAAAAAAAGTTTTATCCTCCTGAATGTCCCATCTAGACCAAACCTTGTCTCACCAAATCAAATCATTGCAAGAGTCTGAATAAGTCTGTTCCATTCTAGGGTTTACGCGATAACCGCTTGCACAAGACTTAACCTTCAATTAGGGAGCACATCCCATCAATCTGTACATAACACATTATCATCTCTTCATTATTCAAGTGATCGAAAACCCAATACCACCCCAATTAAGGTAACCGTTGAGTTTGATGTCTTAAATCAAAGTTAGAACAACTTAACAAGATAGTAATATCCGCATAAGCATGAGTAAATGAAGTAGATAAGGAACATAACCATAACACGTGCAATATCATACCAAGACATGATCATTTACTGATAAGCATATTCATGAAGACAAGAGTATAAAACACCAATACAAAACTAAATTTTCAGATTTAGTACCATCTAAAGATTAGAATCAAAACGACCATTTCAGATCTTTCTCGGGCATGGCCTTCCTATGGTTCGCAAATAATTTCATCTAGTTTTCAGATCATTTTTAGGAAATGGAATAGCTTTTCTAGACTTTTAGTTATTTAAGAAACACTCCAGCGCTGTTCAGATTTGTCCACCATTACGAACATCAGATTTTATTACAAACCGCTCACTCTTTTTCAATGAAACCAATTTTCCTTGAAAGCTAACTTTTTAAGGAAGTTTTTGACATAAAACCGAGGTCCAGGAGATTTTTATACATTTTTCTAGAATTTTTGAAAGTTGGCTGTAAAACTGGTTTTTCATGCACAATACTCAAAAATAAGAAGATTGGTGAGAAAAGAAGCCAACTAAGGGAGAATTTTCACTTCTTTTGTGATGAAAGCATACTAAATAATGTATCAATAACTAAGATTTTTAGAGTGATGGTATGCCTTTGGAAATAATGTGAGATATGGGAAGCAAAAGGTAGTTTTGCATCTATTGAGAGAAAATATGAATAGAAGAAGGATCAAAGCCCAATTCATCACCTTTGAACACATGAACACCATTACAACACATCTGAAAATATGATTTTAAATCTGTAATAACATGGATTTGAAAAAGAAAATAGAATGAAAGATGATGATGTGGCTTACTTGTTGCCTAGTTAAAGAGTTTTCACAAAGGTTCTTCTCTTTCTCTCCTCTACCACCAAAGCTCACTCTCTTGCCCTCTCTTTCCTCTGAGCTGTTTTGTGCTCAAAAGTGTAGAGAGGATTGGTGTGTTTATAGCAAAATTGGTGCAAAACGTCTAAAGTACCCATTGGTTGGAAATGGATTGAATATTTTGGATTTACTTGGAACTTAATGGAATAGTGAATGGTTAGAGGCCTTAATTATGTAATTAACCATGATCTAGTTAGGCTTTAGTTAGGATTGAAAATTCCATGTTTTGGGGGTACTAGCAAACTTTTTCCATGAATTCATGGATTATGTTTGAAAAGTTGTATTCATTTCTCTTCCTTAGGGTGGCTAGCCATGTGGGGGAGATTAGAGGGAATTATTTTTTTTTTTCTTGTGTACAATTGTTGGAAAGTTCAAAATATAATGTATAAAATAGGTTTGAAGGTACAAGTATATATATATATTAGTACTAGTTTGGGGTCAATTAGTGATCTAATAAAAATGTGAGGGCTTTGGGTTTAATTTATGAATTGGAACATTTATTTAAGTGTAGAATTAAACTAAATTAGGGTTAGAGAATTTAATTTGGTTCAGATTTCATGTTTCGAATAAAAAGGCTATTAACCGACAAATATGATGAAAACTA